GGAGGCCCCCTTTTTGGGGGAGTTTTTTTTCAAAAATCTTTTTTTTTTTTTTTTTTTTTTTTTTTTTTTTTTTTTTTTTTTCGAGGCTGTCCTGGAACTAGCTCTTGTAGTCCAGGCTGGTCTCGAACTCACAGAGATCTGCCTGCCTCTACCTCCTGAATGCTGGGATTAAAGGTGTGTGCCACCACCGCCTGGCTAAGTCTTACATATTATACCTTGGTATTAGACTCTGTCTCTGTTGTTTCACATTTGCCTTGTAAGCAAGTGAAAAGCAATCATTGAAACTTCATGTATTAATTCTGATTCTCTTGATACTGATACAGTATTACATGAGTGCATAGGAGAGATGATGTCTGGATACTGGGTTAATCTACAATCAGTAATGGGCTTTAGTTCACAAGAATTGACTTATATGAACTTGAAGCCCAGGCTAAGATTTGTGTTTAGAAGTTGTGGTATTATTGAGACAAGATCTAATATCAATTACAGAGAAAGGGCAGTATAGAGCTTAAGGGCAGTATAGGGCTTGATGAAAAGCAGAATGAAGGGAAGTAGAGGAGTGGATCTAAGGAAGACAGAAGATAGGAGGGGGACTGGGAGGAGTGGAGGGAGGGGAGACTGCAGTGGTCAGGATGGAATATATGAGAGAGATGTAAAAAAAAAAGTCAATCACCAAATAATAAATACTAATCAAACCACTAATTTACACAAAGATGGAGATAGACACTGTATACATAGTCAATTTTCATATATTTTAAAATAAATTTAAATAAATTGGTTTGCATATAAAAACAAGCAAACAAAAACAAGCAAACCAACAAAAAGCCATGGTATTGGAAATTTCTATCAGGAATGATTAGAAATTGAAGTACCGAATATTTAGAGATATGGTGCAGCAGTTAGGAGTGTTTGCTATTCTTCCAGAAAATTCAAGTTCGGTCCCTTGTAGCCATTTTGGGTGGTTCACAGCTGTAACTTCAGCTCCAGAGTATATTACACCTTTCTCTCACCTCTGCATGTACTACTGCACATGTGGTGTGAGAATGCACACATGTGTTTACACACACACACACACACACACACAACCACCACACACACACACACAAGACACACACCACACACACACACACACACACACACACACACACACACAATCTTAAAAGAGGAAAAGAAATTGAAGGAGTGAAACACTTGACTAAAGGTAGCAATAGTAATTGAGAGCTTATTTTCTCTCCCATGACAAGCTAGACGGAAGCACATGACTACTAGAACTGATTAATTAGTTAAATAATATAGTGTCTCTGCAATTCTAATTTTCCCTTTTATCTGATGAAAATGGGTTACACAGGTAGATTCCCCATGTTCCAGTGGATTGCCCTGTATGCACACACAGACAACACCAATGGACTCAGGGGTTCACAAAAAGAATACATGAAGTTGGAAGTGAGAGCTAGTGGAAAAGATATGGGCAAGGGTTGCAGGAGAGAGTC